TTCCTACCCATTTGTCCTTCCAAAAGTTGATTTTATCACCCATCCCCAACTTCCAGCGGAAGCCTTCTCTATACATCCATGCACCTCTACCCCTTTCATCTCCTAATGCCACTATATTTCTCCATACTGTGGATGCATTCCTAGTTTGGACTTCTTTAATATCCCACACCGTACTTCCTCCATAAAATTTATCTACAATAACTCTCTTCCATAAACTATGATCTTCCTTCCCAAATCTGTCCCACCACTTCCCTAGTAGAGCTATATTCCTACATTCCAGATCCGGCACACCAAGTACTCCCTCATTTCTACCCTTGCAAACTTTCTCCCAACCTAACCATACCATTTTATTCTTCTCCTCCGTATTACCCCACAAGAATTTTCTTTGTAAGCACACAAGTTCATGAAGCACAATTTTAGGAATTTTAAAAATGGACATAAAATAAATTGGGAGAGCAAAGAGAACAGACCTTAGCAATGTAACTCGGCCACCGATCGACAAGCTTTTCACTTTCCAGATTGCCAGCTTTTATTAAAGTTGTCAATAACTAGAATCCAAGGCTTTCTTCTACACATACTGTTGCCTATTGGCATCCCGAGGTAAGTGAAGGGGAACGATCCAGATTTGCAATTAAGATTAGCTGCCGCCATTCCCCTCAATTCATCCGAAACATGGCATGAGTACAAGACACCTTTGTTGAAATTAATCTTCAAGCTTGAGATCAATTCAAACCATCTCAAAATCCTTTTCACTACTTTAATATTGCCCGGTTCTGCCTTCCCCATTATAACAGTATCATCAGCGAATTGGAGATGTGAGATGTTAAGATCACCGAAGCCTACAGGAATTCCTTGGAATAATTCCTTGTTGACAACTGATTTGATTAACACATTCAGCCCTTCAGCCACAATAAGAAAGAGGGACGGAGCAATCGGGTCACCTTGCCTTAACCCCTTCTCCATTTTAAATTCTTCCGTTGGGCTTCCATTAACAAGCACTGATACTGTAGCTGTTTGCAGACATTCCTTAATCCACAATCTCCATTTCTCCCCAAATCCGAGCCTTCTCATCATTTCATCCAAGAAAGCCCAATTCACGCTGTCGTATGCCTTTTCAAAATCTGCTTTGAATATGAAGCTACTAATCTTTTTCCTCCTGATTTCCTCTACCACTTCATTAAGAATCAGAATACCATATGTGATCTGTCTTCCTCCCAAAAAGGCTGATTGTGTCCCATTTATCACCTTGGGTAGTACTTTCTTAATCCTATTTGCCAGCACCTTCGATATGATTTTATAAAGAGTACCAATCAGGCTGATTAGTTTGTAGTCTTTTAAATCAATAGGATTATCTTTTTTTGGGATAAGAACAATAAATGAAGAGTTTAGCCCTTTTACTAGTTTGCCGTTCCTGGAGAATTCTTGGACAAAATCGACAATGTCTTTCTCGATCACGTTCCGAATGGATTTGATAATATGAAAGCTGAATCCATCAGGACCAGGAGATTTGTCTCCTCCGCAATCCCACACTGCTTGTTTCACTTCTTCTGCTGACACTTCTCTTTCTAGCCAAACGCCGTCTTCTTCATTTAGTTGCTTGAACTGTAGCCCACCCAGTTTCAGTCTATCCCATTGCTCTTCTTGGAAGATTTTGTTGAAGTATTCACGCACTTCTTGCTTCACCACACTCGGTTCCTCTATCTAAGCTCCATCTTTGTATATGCCCCGAATCAATTTTCTCCTCTTGTTGTTGTTCATTATTCTATGGAATAGCTTGGAGTTAACATCTCCTTGCTTTACCCAGTCGAGCTTTGTCTTCTCTTTCCATGCCACTTCTCTTCTTTGCCATGTTTCCCATAATTCACTAAAACCTTCCCTTCTTAGCAAGATATCCTCCTCTGTTATTTCGCCGTCCTCATTCTTATTGTCAACTTCATTGATTTTTGCTGCTGCCTCTGCAATTTGATTTTCAAAACTTCTGAAGACTTCACTATTCCATTTCTTCAATTTATTCCTCAATCTTTTGAGCTTCTCTTTGCACACATATCCCATCCATCCCTCTACCATAGTAGATTTCCAGTTTTCCTCAACCATTTTGATAAATTATGGATGCTGGTCCCAACAATTTAAGGTCCTGAATGGTTTTGGGCCCCAATTGCTATTGACCTTCTTTAACATCATTGGACAATGATCAGATGTAGTTCTATTAAGTCCAATTTGGCAATAATCCCCCTAGAAATTAAGCATACCATCAGATAAAAGAAATCTATCCAGCCTACTCTTTGCTGACCCATCACTCTTGTACCAAGTAAATTTCCTTCTTGTTAGTGGTAAATCAACCAATCTTGCTAGTTCAATGAATTCGTTGAGATCTTCCCTGTAGTTAGAGTGCTTAGATCTTCCTCTTCTCTCTTCCACTGATCTCATACTGTGGAAGTCTCCAGCAATGCACCAGCAATTGTCTCCTTCCTCAATCATCTTCAATATCATTGTCCATGTTTCCAGCCTTTCATTCCTGTTACATGACGCATAGACATTCACAATGCAACACTTTTTCTTCTTTTCTCCTCAAAAGCCATAGATAGCTAAAGCGCCTGGAACTTCAATAACTGACTCTTTTACAAAAATCTCATTGTCCCACACGCATAGTAGACCACCTAATCTACCCACTGATGCCTTATATACCCAGTCGAAATTATCTCTTCCCTAACTAGACATGCAAAATTGCTTGTCAATTCTTTCCATTTTTGTTTCTTGGAAGCAAGCTAAATCTATTTCCTCCTTTCTAATCAAACTCCTCACCTCTTTTCTTTTGATCGAACTACCTAGTCCCCTCACATTATAAGAGATCAACTTCATTGTTGAAAATTTCTAAAAATTGAGAAAAGGGCCTACCGTTATTGTTGCGGGCATGCCCCCGTCTGTCCTTTTCTTCCATCGGACTGAATCTTTCCACAATCTGCTCTTCTCTGTTGCTGATCTCGATCCCTAAATTGCCCCCGAATTCCAGAGTCTTCCTTGCTTCTTGTAATATCCCAAAATTTTGGGGTATTTTAGCATTAAATTGGAGACTTATTTGAGGAAAAAATTATTGAGGGGCTTAATAGTCAAATTTTTAAAAGTTGAGGGACTAAAAAGAAAGTAAATTAGGATAAGGATCAATTGCCTTTTTCTTTTCTCTTTCTTTCTTTCTTCTTCCTTATCCGCGCATCTGCTGTTTTCCTTCTCCCCGATGCTCTGCCCCCCCGACCCTCTGCACCCGACGAGTCCCCCCAACTACCGCCACCCATTTTCCGGCCGGAAATCCGGCAAAGCTTGGGGATTTCTCCCTATTTTCTTATCTTAGAACACCTGTTGAACCCAGAAAATCCCAGATCTGCGTCTTCCTCCCTCT